ATTGATTCCTTGATTTCTCTTTCTGCTGCTTCATTATTGGTATATAGAAATGCAACAGATTTCTGTATGTTGATTTTGTATCCTGCAATGCAACTTCACTGAATTTCTGTATCAGTTCTAGCAATTTTTTGGTAGAGTCTTTTGGATTTTCTATATAGAGTACCATGTCACCTGCAAATAGTAAAAGTTTAACTTCTTCCTTGCCAATTTGGATGCCTTCTTTTTTCTTTTTGTTGCCTGATTGCTGTGGCTAGGACTTCCAGTGTTATGTTGAATATAAGTGGTAAGAGTGGACATCCCCTACAATCCAGTAATCACACCACTAGGTATTTACCCAAAAAAACACAAAAACCCTAATTTAAAGGGATACATGCAACGCTATATTTATTGCAGCATTATTTACAATAGCCAAACTATGGAAGCAGCCCAAGTGTCCATCAACAGATGAATGGATAAAGAAGATGTGGTATATATATAGAATGGAATATTATTCAGCCATAAAAATGAAATCTTGCCATTTGCAACAACATAGATCGAGCTAGAGAGTATAATGCTAAGCAAAATAAGTCAGCCAGAGAAAGACAAATACCATATGATTTCACTCATCTGTGGAACTTAAGAAACAAAACAAATGAGCAAAGGGAAAAGAAAAAAGAAAGAGAGAGAGAGAGGCCAACCAAGAAACAAACTCTTAACTAACTATAGAGAACAAATTGATGGTTACCAGAGGGGTGAGGATGGGGAGATGGATGAAATAGTTGATGGGGATTAAGTAATGCACTTGTTGTGAGGAGCAATGAGTGTTGTTTGTAAGTGCTGAATCACTAAATTTTACACCTGAAACTAATATTACACTGTATGTTAATTAACTGGAATTTAAATAAAAACTTAAAAAATAAAACCATATGATTATTTCAATGAATTTATTTTTTATTCAATATGTATTTATTGCATGCCTTATGTGACAGACGCTATATATTATTAAATGAAAGAAATGAGTCCTGGTCCTCAATGGAAACAGAAAAAGCATTTGATAAAATTTTACACCAATTCTTAGCAAAATATAATAATTAGAAGAGAATTCTTAAGTTAAAGGTATTGATCAAAAACAAAACAAACATCATTCTTAATGTTGAAACACAAGCTTTCTTACTGATCCCAATAAAAAGATGTTTGTACAAGAGGTTCTGGCCACTGAATTAACTTTAAAAATGAAACACATATACATCTCAGCACCAAAAGAACAAACTGATTAAAAAATGGGCAGAGGACATTTTTCTAAAGAAGACATACAGATGGCAACATACACATGAAAAGATGTTCAAAATCACTAATTATTAGGGAAATGCAAATCAAAACCACAACGAGATAACCACCTTACATCTGTCAGAATGGCTAAAATAAAAACACAGTAGATAACAAGCGTTGGCAAGGATGTGGAGGAAAAGGAACCTTTGTGCACTGTTGGTAGGAATATAAACTGGTACAGCCACTGCTGAAAACAGGAAAAAAATTAGAAATACCGTATTTTCCAATAATTCCACTACTGGGTATCTAAAAGAAAATGAAAACACTAGTTCAAAAAGATATATAAATCTACCATTTACATCGACATGGATGGAATTGGAGGGTATTATGCTAAGCGAAATAAGTCAATCAGAGAAAGACAATTATCATATGGTTTCACTCATATGTGGAACATAAGGAATAGTGCAGAGGACAATAGGGGAAGGAAGGGAAAACTGAATGGGAAGAAATCAGAGAGGGAGATAAACCATATGAGATTCTTAACTCTGGAAAACAAACTGAAGGTTGCAGAAAGGGAGGTTGGTGAGGGGATAGGGTAACTGGGTGATGGGCTTTAAGGAGAACACATGATGTGATGAGCACTGGGTGTTATACGCAACTAACGAATCATTGAACATTATATCAAAAACTAATCATGTATTATATGTTGGCTAATTGAATTTAAATAAAAAAGACATGTACCCCTATGTTTATTGCAACATTATAATAGTCAAGATATGGAAGCAACCTAAGTGTCCATTAATAGACAAATGGATAAAGAAGATATGGTGTGTTTGTGTATTCCAATATATATATGTATATAGTTACATAGAGAGAGGAATGTTACACAGCCATAAAAAGGATGAGATCATGCCATTTGGGACAACATGGTAGGAACCAGAGGGTATTATGCTAAGTGAAACTGGCCAGATTGAGAAAAACAAATACCAGATTTACTCACGTGTGGAAAAAAAAAAGAGAAAAAAATAAACAAACAAATAAAAAGCAAAATCAGACCTATAAATACAGAGAAGAAACTGGTGGATGCCAGAGGGGAGATGGGGTCAAGGGATGGGCAAAAAAATGGGTGAAAGGGAAAGGAAGATATGGGCTTCCAGTTATGGAACGAATAAGTCATGGGAATAAAAGGCACAGCATAGGGAATATGTCAATGATATTATAATAGTGTTGTATGGTGATAGATGGCAGCTAAACTTGTGGTGAGCATAGCATAACACATAGAGAAGTTGAATCACTGTGTTGTACACCTGAAATTAATATAACATTGTGTGTCAACTATGCTCAAATAAAAAAATTTTAATTTAAAAATAATAAAAATAAAAATAAAAGATATATAAAAATTAGAAATAGAAAATAGTAAAAGAAACAAAATTATTTGCTTTTATTTAAGATGAAATCATTAAAATGTAATTTTAAAATCCAATAGTATCTATAAACAAGCCATTATAACCAGGCAGATAGTTCAACAAAGTCAACAGACACAAGCTCAGTATACAAAATATCACAACATTCCTACGTACTAGAAATAACCAAGTAGTAAATGTAATTGAATTTTTAATTCATAATAGAAAGAAAAAATAGAAGCTATCTGATAATATATCTTACAAAATTTGTGTGTAACCTTTATCAAAATGAGTTTCACCAATGGCAACAGTAGAAGAGCCTTTGTGAATGAAAATGTTGTTGAACCTTTGCATAACCACCATGCCCAGCCATGGACACACTGTTAGAGAATTCGTGGACCAGAACTAGGCTCACCAGGAAGGAAAAGATTGGCATTCACATGGTAGACTATTCTACTCATAATTATTTCAAACTCTTTTGGCAGTGGAATCCCTCTGGTGAAAATTCATCCTATATATTTTCCCAGTTTCTCTGCCCATAATTTACACAATCAAAATACATTTATTGTACAACATGCACATTTGAAACTATTTCATATTCTTGAAAAAGTAGCAAAGATTGCCAGGAAAAGGCCCTTGATCTCTTTGAGTTTATATTTTCTGCTATTAAGGAGTGCAAAATGAAGAGTAAGTAAAGTAAGTAAAAACTAAAAGGTAATTTCAGAAAGAAATAATTAATTTTTGATCATGATAATTTTAATCTCCCAAATCTCCTTCTCAGTAATTCTCCAATTATGTTTCATGACCTAAGGGGCCACTGCTGAAATTCTGTTGATTTCTTCCTAGAGTTTGTTATATGCACTGTGCAGCATTTACTCTCTCACATTCCACCATTTTTGTAGCATTATTAGGGCTGAGTGGCAGAGCTACTTGTCTAACAGTGTCTCCCTCTCACAGCTGGAAATGGTTGACCATTAGGTAAATGGTTTGAAGCTAGATAAACAAATGTTATCTGTATTCTCTATTGGACATACCTAGGTCCAATAAACAATTTCAAATATCCCAGCTGTCCTTGGATGTCTATACCTGCAATTTAATTGCAGTACTGATATGCATCTTTTAGGTCTTTTCCTTGCAAATGACAGAATCTAATTCTGACTTACTTAAATGAAATAAAACAAAACAACAATAGTAAAGCATTAAAAGGGAAATTCATGAACTGGGTCTGGGGTAGCTCACAGCACCAAAGGGAATAGTCAGTGTGTCAAGGTGGTAAAGAAAACAGGCTTTGGGATAAGTCTGTTTGGTTCCAAATTCCACCCCCACCACTTACCTCTCTGAGTCCACTTTCCCTTCTCTGAAACAAGGATAACTAAAGTATTTACTGTAGCATTTGTTGTGACATTTAAATGGGATAATGTATGTAAAATTCTTGGCACAGTGCCTGCAGGACATGATGCAAATATCTAATCATGTGCTCTTAATATAATTCATGTTTATGGGGGTGCCTGGGTGGCTCAGTTAAGCGTCTGCCTTCGGCTCAGGTCATGATTCCAGGGTCCTGGGATCGAGCCCTGCATCAGGCTCCCTGCTCGGGGGAAAGCCTGCTTCTCCCTCTTCCTTTGCCTCTTCCCCGGCTTGTGCTCTCTCTCTTTCTCGCGCTCTCTCTCTCTCTCACTCACTCTGTCTCCCAAATAAATAAATAAAATCTTAAAAAAAGATATAGGTTTAATTCATGTTTATCAGTCTGCCTTGAAAGTATAGAATCTATGATAACAGTAGTGATCTTATCAGCAGAGGCACTGGGATAGGCTACCAGAATGCTGCAAACAGAAAGACTTACCTCTGCCTCTCTGAATCTATTCTGAAGATTAAAATTCCTAAGGGAGTGGAAGGTCTGGCACTGACCATATACTCATTCCTATGCCAGCCACTGTGCCAGGAAGAATGAGTGAATAACGAGTGGGGGAGGAAAGAGGATTTGGGGACAACATGATTAACAGTCTCTCTGGAACTATACTGAACACATGGAATTTAGTTACTGGAAGAATGGTAAAGATAACATAAGCAAGCAATAACAAAGTCTACCATATTGTCTGTAATAAATTAAATATTTTTATAAGAAAAATTGTAAGACAAGAGGTTCATCCATCCATCTTCCTCTGACTAGGACAGAACTACTATCATACCAGGAAAATAGCTCCACCTTTTCTTAACCATTTTAAAGAAAAGATGTGAGGTATGTTGCAGATCCTGATATCAGAAAATTCTCCTTAATATTCAGGCACTTGCAGTTCTATTCAGTTTCTCCCCTCATCATTCTGATTTTGTAATCTATTACTTGTAACACTAGACACATTTTCTCAAAATTCTTCTCACAGCTGCTTTCACCTCTTTATTCTTCAGGCTGTAGATGAGAGGATTCAGCATAGGAGTGACCACGCTATACTGCAAGGAGAAGATTAACTCTTGAGTGGATCCTGAATTTGGCATGAGATAGCGGAGTAACCCTGAGCCATAAAAGAAGATCACTGCAGTGAGGTGGGAGAAGCAGGTGGAGAAGGCCTTGCTTCTGCCTGTGGTAGAGCTAATCCTCAAGATGGTGGATAAAATGCGAACATAGGAGAAAAATATCAGGAAGAAATTTCCAAAGAAATGCAGGAGGCTGGAGCAGAGCAGGGCAGTAAAACTTGCAGACACATCAGAGCAAGACAAAGGGTAGAGAGATGGCAGCTCACAGCTGAAGTGGTGTATATTCTGAGCCTCACAGAAGTCTAAATTGAGAGCTACAAGGATATTGATAAGAGCATCCAGAAAAGCCAAGCTCCATGAGCCCCACACCAGCCCCATACACAGCTGTCTGTTCATCATCTGGCCATAGAGCAAAGGGGAGCTGATGGCAACATAGCGGTCATAGGCCATGACAGCAAGCAGGCAGGATTCAGTGCCCCCAGTGGCAAACACAAAGAAGACCTGAGCCAGGCAGCCCTCTACTGAGATGGTTTTCTTCTCAGACAGAAGGTTCTCCAACAGCTTGGGCACAGTGACAGAGGAGTGGCAGAGATCCAGGAAGGACAACTGTCCCAGGAAGAAGTACATGGGGGTGTGGAGGTGAGAATCAGCCCTGATCACCAGCAGGAGCATCAGGTTCCCCATCAGGGTCAGGAGGTAAATAACAAGGAACAGCACAAAGAGCAGAGCCTGGATCTGGGGGTCAGCAGACAGCCCAAGGAGGATGAACTCAGAAACAACACTGTGGTTTCTCATTGCCTTCAGTATCTTCTTTGGAATATAAGAAATAAATCAGATAAAGCCTCTTATGTCTAACAAATATTCAAGAGTTTCAACATTCTTCCCTATTCACAAAGTTTCATGCCTACTCAAAAATTTATGTTCTGAAATTATAAACTTCCCTAAGTCTCTAGATTTCCTAAAATCTGCAATAATCTTTTCTATAGGATTCCAACCCTAGATCAACTTCCTGTCCACTTTTACTGTTCTTTCTTTAATGTCTTAGAATTTATTTTGTTGTTGTTGTTTTATTATTAAAGCAACTGGAGGATGTTTTGTAAACTCTTGATAATAATCCAGTAGAGAGGGATAAATTGCAGGAGAAATACAAGAAAATTGCAGAAATAGTATCTCTGAGAGTAGCTGGGTTGCAAAGCAGAAGCAGAGCATGCCGTTAGGTGGGAGCAAGTTTTCTTCATCCATCAAACATGCATAGATGTGATGTTGGGAAGGAAGCAGTTCCCACGTAATGGCTTTTATTTTTTCAATAAATATTTAAATGGGGTCATTAATGCAAACTGAAGAGGAGTGGTGGCTGGACATTTGCAGAGTGAGGAGAAAGGGGATGAGTTAGAAAGAAGGCAGCATAGAGACATCCCAGATGCTATATAACTCATCAAGAGAAACTGTTGACCAATATGGCAATATACACTGGTCATGATCTCTAATCCCCAGTTTGTGTCATCTATTCAGATTCAGCTCTTGTCCGTGCCCTTATGCCATTTGCAAATATAAACTACCTACTAACTTTCCAAAGCTTAGCCTTTTTTTTCCTACTGTGGGCTGACAACCCATATAACCATAGACTCAAAATAACTTTTCAACACCACTGACTATACCATCTTGTCCCTTCATGTCCTCCACTATCTCCTGCATTCATACTGCAAGATGGGCACATTCAATTTCTCAAAGGACTTATAATTTCTCTCCCATTATTTACCCAAACAACACCCAGAATTAAAGCCGTTCTTAGGAAGCAAGTCCACATTACCTCTCCTTCTCACCTACCTGAGCAATAACTAGCACAGAATTAAAGAAAAACTTCTTCAAATTCAGTGATCCAGAAGACAAGTTTGAATGTCAGTGTGAGAATTTGGTGTTAAGGGAGAGTTTGAAAATTTCTGTTGGATATAGACCTCTCCCTTGATTTCTAAAAGATGAAATAGAAGGCTAAATTGTGTGTATTATTTCTAAAAACCTAAATACTTCAAGTCATGTAGGGATTGCATTTTCCATGCTAATACTTTTTTTCTTTTGCTCACCACTGTAGCTTTAGCTATAGCAACCTGGATTCATCCTGAGAATATTACATCATTGGCAGAAGATGCTAGAAAAGCAAGGAATCAAACCATGAAATGCAGACAGAGAACCACCCATTATAATTTTGGAGGGCAGCAAAAAGAAAGGTTGCTCATCTCCAAATGGGGCCCCACTTACTAGCAGTAGAAATTCCTTAAACTTTGGGGAAATTTTCTCTCTTAGAAATAAAGACCAAAGGACATTTTGATGAAAGACAAACCTGGAAATTGTACTCTATCAGGAGTCATACTTCCTCAAAGGTATAGATTTACTATATTAGAGTTATTTTAGAAGTCACATAAGTAAATAAAATCACTTATATTTTTACCTGGTGCTGCAATTTCATTATTCTCAGTGCTTTGGTTATTCAGCCTGTGAGTCCAAATTTAGAATGGAAACAGCTCTGAAAACATTACCACTATTTTTCATTTATTATCACAATTAGGTGGAGTTAGCTGACTAGGTAATTTCCAAAGAAAAGCTGCCTAAGAAGAGTTTCTTTTAAGATGAGACACACAAGAGTACCTAGCATTATAACTGGCCCAAAGGAATTGCTCAAAAAGTATTATTTAAAAATAAAGATGAATACATGAATGAGTGAATGAGTAAGTAAATGAATGAAACTCAGAAGAATAGTCTAGGGCTTTACTACTCACAGGGAACAGATCTGATTAGGAACCAGTAAGGGATTTTGACCCTTGGGGCTTGCATGAAAGCAGATGTATAAAGGGTACTGAAAAATTTTGCCAACTGGAAAGGTTTGCCTCAATGCAGTGTTTCATGCCCTGTTCTGAACTTCCACATATCTCAGGGTACATAATTGTAGAGAATACCTATAATTAAAGATGTAATTAGTTTCTGGACCCTGTGCATTTGGAGTATTTGAAGAGGGTTATTTGTGAGTCACAGGGTACTCAAAGTCTATCATTGATGTCCTATCCCCCTCTCACCTTTTACAGACAGCTCTCAGGTATTAGTCTCCCTGAACTTCCAGTTTTCTGGTATAATGTGGTGTTTCAGCACCAGAAACAATGAATATAACAAGATATAGAAAAGATCTTGTCTCATTTGTCTCATATGTAAAATGAATGCTAAAAATAATTACCTTGAAAACTTGTAATGACTTAAGAATCTTGAATGCTAAAGAATCATTAGATTCTCAGGCACCTGGGTGGCTCAGTTGGTTAAGCAACTGCCTTCAGCTCAGGTCATGATCCTGGAGTCCCAGGATCGAGTCCCGCATCGGACTCCCTGCTCAGTGGGGAGTCTGCTTCTCCCTCTGACCTTACCCCCTCTTGTGCTCTCTCTCTCTCAAATAAATAAATAAAATCTTTAAAAAAAAAAGAATCATTAGATTCTCTTTTCTTCATGCCCAATGCAAATGTTTAATTTTCCCAAAAGGAGGAAGAGAGGTGATTTTGAGGAGCAGACCAAAACATTTCAGGTCACAGAAATGAATGCCATGTCAGATAGAAACAGGGAGAACATGACGTCCAGGGGAACAGAGATAAGATGAGAGAAGTGAAAGAGAAAGGAAGTGCCTGATGAGGGAATAACAAGTGGCAGGAATTGAGGCAGAAAGGATTCTACACAGGGAGCACAGGAACAGAGAAACCCATCAGAGAACACAAGAAAAATATTACCATATTTCTGGGTTTTCTTGGTGCAGAATACATCTCGTTTTTCTGAGTTGGTACTTATGCCACAGATCTCAGGAGAAGTGTACAAGAGAGAAAATGTGCCACAATTGTCCAGTCATGTGAACTGGCATTGCTTTATCTATTTAAAAGACTTTTTGTGTATAAAGAGAAATATGTAAGCTCTGTCCTCAAAAGTCTCTGCAAATAAAGACTTCAGGAAACTTCTAAACTTTGACAGCATTTTTAAACTTATCCCTTAATGACTGCAGAAAATGACAAAGGAAAACTTGAAAACTTCAAATTCCTAACAGGTAATAAAGCAATTTCTTTCATATTTCTCCTAGCATAATTACACCATCATTTCTGCACATATCCCTCTGTATGACTGCTAATATATTACTAAGAGCACCATTCTGACAAAGGAGGCTCAGGTCTAGCCATTCAGAAGTAATTGTGGGTTAAGGTGGCCAATGAGATGGCAAATTATGATGACCTGAGAGCCCAGGGGACATTGTGGGTCTGTCCTGATTGCTGAAAAGCTCAGCCTGAAGCTTACTTTGGACTTATTACCTAAAAATGGTTACTGAGTGATCACTTTGGGAATTTCCATTAAAGTTAAGTGATTCACAGTGTACCTTTACATCATCCTCCTTAATGTTTTCATGTATTTAATTACATGTACTCAATACAGAATTATTATATATGACATCATTACTGCTACTGCTGCCGCTACTACTACATGGTCAATGGTTAATTTAAATTTACCTACATATTTGACTTTCTTTTGCTCAATTTTTTCTACATCTAGAATTGAAAAGTTCAATAGCTAAGATTTCAGTGGATGAGTTTAACACAAATATGACAAAGCTGAAGAGATATTAGTGAATCAGAAGATAGTACAGAAGAAAATAAGAACTTCCACCTGTGAGCATTTTCTTTCTCCCAGAACTCCCTTTAATTTTTCATTTAGTGCTAGTGATATATTTTTTTCACCTTCATTCTTTTTTTAAAAAAGATTTTATTTATTTATTTGTGAGAAAGAGTGTGAGCACACAAGCGGTGGGGGGGGGCAGGCAGAGGGAGAAGCAGGCTCCCCACTAAGCAGGACCCTGGGATCATGACCCAAGCCAAAGGCAGATGCTTAATCCACTGAATCACCCTCTTTCTTTCTTTTTTTTTTTTCATTAAACTTTTGTTTTAATGGGTCTCAAAATTCTGTGACAGATTTTTGGTCAAGTTGTTTCCATTAAAAAGTACTGATTTTAAAAACTAATAACTTAAAACTGCCACACACACACACAAAAAACATGGTCCACAAAACATTCTCCTTTCCTTCTGAAGGTTTTACGATGCATTGTTATCATTAACCAGTCTTTTACTATTAAACTTAAATGGCCAATTGACACAAACAGTTCTGAGACCGTTCTTCCACCACTGATTAAGACTGGAATGGCAGGTATTGGGGATAATATTCATTTAGCCTTCTGAGCTTTCTGGGCAGACTTGGTGACCTTGCCAGCTCCAGCTGCCTTCTTGTCCACTGCTTTGATGACACCCACAGCAACCGTCTGTCTCATGTCACGAACAGCAAAACGGCCCAGAGGAGGATAGTCAGAGAAGCTCTCAACACACATAGGCTTGCCAGGAACCATATCAACAATGGCAGCATCACCAGATTTCAAGAACTTGGGACCATCTTCCAGCTTTTTTCCAGATCGACGATCTATTTTCTCCTTCAGCTCAGCAAACTTGCAAGCAATGTGAGCCGTGTGACAATCCAGCACAGGTGCATATCCAGCACTGATTTGGCCTGGATGGTTCAGGATAATCACCTGAGCCGTGAAGCCAGCTGCTTCCATTGGTGGATCATTTTTGCTGTCACCAGCCACATTGCCACGACGAACATCTTTGACAGATACGTTCTTGACATTGAAGCCCACATTGTCCCCAGGAAGAGCCTCACTCAAAGCTTCATGGTGCATTTCAACAGACTTTACTTCATTGACTGGAGCAAAGGTGACCACCATCCCAGGTTTA